AGAAATAAATTCTGTGTAGTGTACTCTTCCCATAGCACTTAATGGCTCAGTTTGCATTAATCACCTCCAGTGAAAAGGTCTGCCACTCCTCACAAGTCTCCACTCCCACAACTATGCCTGTATATCAGTCTCTGGCCTTACAAAGACTGTCTCAGCCTCGAACGTACCGTGACTTAATGTTTGGTACCAGGCTCCACCGTGGTGCAGCCCCGTCGGGTGGAGGACACCGCTTACTATGTCGAGCAGTATTTACAGAAAGAGTTAATGTTGTTTCTGTTACGTTGATATAAGGAGGGAGCTGCAGATAGGGAGGACAGATGATGGAATGTGACTGTGAGCGATGCGGTTCACATGTTTTTCATCTTACAGACAGTAGATTGTTGCTGTTGAGTATAAATACTCCTCCAAAATGTTATGTATAAGAAAAGCTTCCATGATTTGTACATGATTGCCTGCTTTAAACACAGGGTTTGACAGCGTTTCTATAACAAAGTTGATAGGATTTTCCCGTAACTGCAACATTTAAAGCTAATAGTTTTAAACCTAACGGCTGTAGAAGTTTATAAGGAGTTTATTTCAAAGTGGAGGATTATGTTTGCCTTAAAATGTTTAAATTTGCCTCTTTTTTTTTTTTTACATGCTTTACAGTTGGTTGATCTAGAGTGAAATAGTCAACAACTACTGAATAGATTGCTATAACATTTCGTACAGATAGTCATGGTACCCAGACAATGAATCTTACTTTTCTCTTGTGCCACCATGACGTTGATATTTGTGGGTTTTTTGTGTAATATCTTGGTCACTCTGGTTGCCGTTTAATGTGGTACATTCATGTCCTCCTTAGGATGAATTGTAATATCTTTGGTGATCCTGTGACTTGATGTTAGCACTTGTGCCAAAGTAGAGTCTCATGGACCGCTAGCATAGCTGTATACTCTTGTTCTTTCTATTTGTCTCAATTCAAACACACCTGTTCATCCTTGTTGCCACGTTGATACACAAACTCAGAATCTCTGATAGCTTTGTGAGCCAGGGTGTCGGCAGTATTATTTGTACAGTAAAACAAATTGCAATTTGAAGGATAGGTGAATCATTGTTTGCATACTGCGTGTGTTATTTGATATCTTATTTAACAGTTTAAAACCATTTTTATTTTTCCTCTGCAAAGTACACATGATTGAATCCACCCTTCAAACCTCAAACAGGATTTACTGTTCAGTTATGACTGTGTCTGCAGTCAAAGTTGACTAGATAACAAATTGTTCACCAAGTGAAAATCATCACCAAGAACCACAGCTAGTGAGTAACTGACTCCCATTTGAACTCTTATTGTAATTGTTGGGTGTGTGAGAATGGCGACCTTAAATTACTCCTAAATACAATGTGAAGTAAAGTCCACGAGTTAGCACATAAACCATTTTGCACGGTTGTCACGAACAACTCTGAAAAGCTGACTGTGCAGAATGTGTGAAACATTCAGAGAATACTTTCTTTTCCAAACTCATGAAAGGACATTTGTGTCCAAATAAATGTACTTTGCTGTTGAGCCACATTTGCACTTTAGCCGTGTCTTCAAAGTGCAAACCAAAAGCTATTGGTCTCAGTTTTTGGGTGGGGGGGTAAAATGTGTCGGAGAACAACGAATGATTGTGGGGACAACAGGCACTCGTTCGAAGAACTTGTCCAAAATTATTTAGCCTCTGGATAAAAGTCTCCTTGTTGTGGTATGTATGAATGCTTCCCTTATTCTCGCTATGAACCCCTTTTATGATGCTTTACATAGAGATATTCACATACAAAACAATCTCTAGTCATCAAATAGCTTTGTGTAGACCTTCAAAGCTGGGTGTCTTCAGCGTCCAACAAGTCCAACAACAAAAAAACAGAAGAAGAAAAAAAAAATCAGTGTCGCTCTGCTGACCAAACATAAAAAGAGACCATTACAAAGGTTGAACTGTTTTACCCCTCTTCACCCTCCCACCCTTTCTTTTGGCAGAAACAATGTTGCTGCATTACTTGACTGTTATCCTTCCCCCCTGATGATTTTCTTTAGCATTTTTTACTTCTCTTGTTTGAACAGATGCCGCCCCCCTCCTGCAGCCCCCATCCTCTGGGATTGCCATACGGCTTAGCACAATGCTGTAACACTCAATTACATTAATGTTAAGAGTCCAACCCAGACAGTTCCTTCCACTATAAGCAACATCAAACAATATAATGTATATAACTTCCTGAAGAAAATTTGTAGTCTTTTGTCCTACTTTATTTATGAATGGATTATGAAAGAGGCAGCTGAATGACCGTGCTCACCTTACCTTTGTCCATTACTGCCCATAAAGCATTTTATAGCAGGATGTATCCTAACATGTTGACCCAACACCAAACAGTCAATGAGTTGGGTTCAACTGGGAATGACTGGGGAGTGGAGGCAGATTTCACCAACCCTCTCATCTCATGTCCACCCTGGTGAACTGGCAACTCGTCCACAAGAATTCTGGGTAAAAACATGTTCTTGACATAAGCAGCTGGTGTTGTCTGTAAACAAGGACGGTGGTGGCTCACGATTCCCCTGTGTCCTGTTTTAGCCCTGCACCAGTTGCATACTTCGAGTGTCACAGAATCCAGAGAAGTGTCACCTTTGACCTTTTGTGATATTTAAACTTGATTGTATTTTGACCCAAATTCTGTTAACACACTCATGAGCTTGACGTTGTGAAGAACTGATGGCATGTGGAGGTGTGAAACATCCAGCTGATGTTCATTTTCCACTGCTTTTTCAGAGTGGCTTCAACAGCTACAAGCCCACTGGTGCAAAACTGGATTTTGATGCTACTAAATCTCCATTTTCCCCATTCAGAGAAATCTGAACTGCATATCCTTACGTTTGCCGTTTACAGTTGTGAACAAAGTATCCCTGTACTACTGTTCCTGCTGCTGCTGGGACCAAATCATAGTGAAAAATGAACCCAGATACATTTGATTAAAAATCAATATTCACTGGACCAAAAATGTCCAACCAGCAGCCAAATGCTGCATAGCACAGATCTGTGTTTTCTGTGGTGAAACAAATTGAGTTTTTCGAGTGTGGCTGCAAAGTTAACATCATTACAGTCATATTTAGAATGTACACCATCTCTGTTACCATTGAAATATTATAGATTATAGTGTATTTGCAAATAAGGAATGACACATAGAGTCCATACTGCTCATACTCACATTTATATTTGATATGACTGCTGCACATGGAGGGATTATTAATAGGCCAATAGGCCCCTGTGCACATACTTGTAAAAGCCCCCCACAACCCTCCTTCATAAGAATAAATAAATGTCCCATTGTTGTTATTCATCAATAGTTTACCACTCAAAAAAAGAGCAACATCCCCACAACGCATCACGTTTTGATCGAAATGTTGCTAAGTGGTACACAGAAATACATGACATCAGCCTTTCTTCAAACCGATGAGACGAGCTCGGACAAAACACAAAACGCAGACAATCTTTCTTACAAAATAACCCCAAACTGTTGCAGCTTTGGCAGAACATTTTGTGTTGATGGGTCGCTGCTGCTCAGATGAAGAAGCTGACTGAAATAAAAGTTTTCAGGGCCTTTAATAAAATGTTACTGTTGTGTCAAGTGTGCTGTCCAGGCGCAATATGAAGTAAGAAACAAACACAGATATCGGATTGGATTTGGTTGGCAGATTCAGAAACAGGAAATCCAATGCAACCCCTGCTTTTAACTGAGCTCTGTCACTTCCCTAACAAATGTCAGTTCACATCACTGCAGCATCCTGTGCGAAGAACGAGTTCAGCGTGCAGGCATAATTCACTCAATAGTTTTGGTGGCAGAAAACACTGTAAAATCTGTCTCAGTTCAACCCCTTCTCTCAAGGTTAAACTCAGTTTTGTCAACAGTGATGTTGACAGTTAAAACTGCCTCTGTAGTGACACCCCCCCTTCCACAGAGGACTTTATAGCTTGTGTACATGTAATTTATGTTTGTCAATATTTAGTGGTCGTTTGCCTCATGATGAACATAATGCAGGCCATTAATCATCCATTTTTCCCCCCCTGTTCTTCCCCTACAACATCTTCTGTGGTTTAAGCGGACTCCGCAGCAGCCGCTGAACGTCCACTGTCTGTCAGCATCGCGCCGTCGGTTCCCCCTTTAAAGGAGCCCCGCCCCGAAATCAGTCGATCAAATACAACATCACACTCACCAGCGTCGGACCAATCAGCACGCCGAGGGGGTGGTCTCGAGAAAGTGGTCCGGGAGGCCGGCGGCCAATGAGAGCTCGAGCCTCACAGACAAAGGGCTCGCGTCAACGATCGTTGGTTGGACACGATGAGGCGAGATAGCGGATCCTTATAAAAGGTAACGGATGTCCACAGCCCTAACATATTTCATGTGTGTGTGTGTGTAGTGAAGTGAAGTGATGTGAAGCGAAGCGAAGTAAAAGTTTTAAATGATTATAGTGACATGTATTGTAATAATTTCCCTCAATATTGTGCATTAACACACACACACACACTCCCTGTAAGCGCATTAGATAGGTGTCCAGGTGTAATACTACTACCGTGTGTGTGTGTGTGTGTGTGTGAGCATGCTCCTGCTAATTCATTCACAGTCCTGGTGGATGTTGCATGTTGTGTATCCCAAGCTCACACATGCTGGTAACTTTAAATGCCGTCACAGCAGTGCAGCAGCAGTTTAAAACCTCTAAATCAAGCTCTATTAAGTTTTTTAACTCCAACAAAAGTGTCAAACTGTGAGCAAAATGTATTTATTTATTTTTAAAAAAAAAGGAGGAAATAAACGTGAAAAAAAATGATGGTTAAAAAAAAAATCTATAATGTGTTTTGTTTTCGGTGTTTTGATAGTGACATCAGCCATGTAAGCAAAGCTCCATCACTGGCTTTTTCTTTTTCTTTCCCCCCACCCCCCTTTACACACACCCACCGCCCATGCAGCCTCCAAAACGCTGTTCGCCTGACTGAGTCCACTAATGCGTAGAGGAAGGGGAGGAGGTGGACGGCTCTTCTTCTACGAGCCGACGTGCTGAGAGCTCCTGTTTCATTTCACCACCGCCTCCGAGCAGCTCGGCCCTCTCCCTCCTCGTTCAGCTAGCCAGAGGGGTTTTGAAGCTGAACTCGGATGAAAAGTGCCAACATTTTTGATACTTTCTTGTGTTTTTTTTGTCCTCGCCGGGGAGAGCACTCCAGGGCGGCGGAGGGAGAGAAGTTTAAACCCCCAGCTGCTGCACAGGAGACGGTGGATCCGAGGTTTCACGATCCCCTCGCACATCACCGCCGCTGTCTTTTTGTCTTAGCTTCATTATTTTTGTTGAGGGAAGTTCAGTGAAGTTTCACCGGCCTCCTCCTTCCCCCCGAGAGGGACACAACACATCCGCCCGGCATCATGACTCGGAGATCCTGTGCCATTTACGCCACCGGCATCGTGTGCGCTCACCTCCTGATAGTGGGGATCGCCCTGGTCGTGGCTCAAGTCTTCCAAACAATGATACACAGCCGGCTAAAAAAGGTAAGTCGTACCATCTTTTTTGTTTTGTTTTACTCAGTGGCTTTCTTTCCTTTCACACTTCTCCCCATCTGTCACACTTTAGGGTTTTAAAATGTTCCATCTGCAGTGGCCAATCATGCGCATTGAGCATCTCACTGGTGGTAGTACATGCAGGGTCACAAGATCATCCGGTGTGTTTGTGTCAATTACCTTCATGTCCTCTGTGATTGGTTCATTGGTGATGTATTTCTTTATTTTTTTGTAGTTGCATTCTCCATCTCGAGTCCCAGGTGAATCCAGACTCCTTACCTTCATGGGTCCGCATAATCCCAGGTTGTAAGTCACATTACATGGTTGTGTAGCTCTGGGATTGTTGTTTTTTTTGTGTGTGTTAAAGCTTTTGCATTTAAACAGATACTTAACCGCCCTGTGTATTTAAACATTAGGCTGCACACAGACCTAATAAACGCTTCGCTGTAGGTAGAAATCCTCTAACTCCCACAAGGGGGAATAATGAATGTGTGACTCTCAGAGGTGAATTCATCATGACCTTACCCCATTTTTATCTTTTATCGCCCTTTGACATATCTTTAACGTTCCTCCACGGATCTGCAGCGTTTATATGAATTGACCAGTCATCACATGATTTTTACTAAATGAAATCCACTCTGGAAAATGGGAGAAAAGGAGGAGGGAAGACATGATGTTCCTTCTCCTGTCTGATACTGTAGCGTTTTGATAACCTGTACCAGCACTGTGCGCATGACCCACTGACACATTACTGCTGCTGCAGGCTGATACCGACTACTTCATGGTTGTCTTTTCTGAGGCAGGGTTGTAGTAATAGTAGAAATCTCAGCCAGCAGGGACATGGTGGGCAGGGGGGGGAGGTGTTAGGTCTTGAGGAATGGGGGAAGGGAGCACTGGGTGAGTGGACAGCCGTGTCAGGGAGTCCCTGACTTTCAGTGGTGGATCTGTAGTTTGTGGCAAAAGGAGGATGAGTGGCAGCCATCCACCTTGTGTAAGCCAGACAAATCTGTGTTCATTTGACTGACACGTACGTATATGTATGCACAGATAAATGGTGATTTTAAAAGGTTAAAAACAATGAAGAGCTAAATGATAGAATCCTAAGGTGTAGGTCCCCAACTAAATGCGATCCTGTGTACCAAAAGGGTGGGGAAAAAACAAACCCCCTAAACTCCGCCAGATTTTTTTTTTCATACAACTGCAATACTGGTCTATTTTGAGTCTTCGCTGCTTCACAAATTAATTAAGGCTTGATCAGCTCTTTCCCTGTCATGAGATGAATTCTGTTAAACATATAGGCTTTATTTTACTGAGCAAGTTGACTTTTTGTAATGATTTGCATTATGAAGCGCTGTCAAGCTAAACATTTATTCCTGACCCGAGTTGGATTGACAAAAAACAAGTTATAAAATGTGGCTCAACGGTGAACTATTCCTGAGCTGGTGGGTCAAACAGCATTATACATTTCTGCTAGTTACTGTATTGTAGCGCATGTAGGGGTGACAGGGTGGCAGTCTGATGGGGTGGGGGTGTTGGCAGCTGTCACCCTGTCCCACCCTGCAGACCCACCGCTGCACTCTTGCAATGGCAATACCTCGCATTCCTCTCTAAATCACTTTGTGAAGAAGCAGACAAGACTTGAAAATACAGAGCATCCACACAGTCCCCCCCCCCCCCCNNCCCCCTGTCGGCTTAATAGAAGAAAAGGCGAGGAACAGCTCAGCAGAAAAGCTCAACACGCTATTTATCCAAGTAGGGGACTCGCAAAAACAGCTTCCTCACTGACACGGTTTCCCCCTCCTGGAGTTACATTTAGGTCTGGGTCTCATTTGTTTCTCATTCCGAATCACGGCAACGTCCCAGGGGACCCAAATTAAAAGAGTTAGTCAAAGTTCATCAACGCGGGGACATAATTCTGATGTGGCCGGCGATTACACAAAATGACAGCATAGCTAATCCTCTTTCGCCACAGTCTTCCCATTGAATTAGACGGGCCTGGACATGCTGAACTGACTCCAAAAATCTACCTAATCTGATGTTCAAATGTGGCTGTCTGTGATAATGATGTAGCCTAGTTGTTTGGGACAAGTTTTAAAAAAAGAGACTTTGTATGTCTGGCGAGCTGGGTGTGGAGGCCATTTGAGGAATGTGACAGACTTCTCGGGCCTCGAGGGCATGATTTTGGCCTAGGAGCAACCTCGTAGTGCCTTGTTGTTCCAGTCCCGGCAAATCCTGAGTGGTTCTGCTCAGACGAGGCAACTAAAAAACACCCACTCGTGCCACTCCTCTAAATCCTGTTTGGGAGAGGAGACTTTTCAAGGTAGTAGGACTGATTAAACTTAAAGTGTACGCAAACAAGGTTGTGCTGGTAAAACAGACACGCTTTAGTGCCCGCTTCTATGCAGAATCTTCAACAGAGGAGGCACTTATATTGTTTTTTTAATTATTTTAATTGTTTTCCACATGCGGATAAAAGCAGGATCTTGTTATGCCACACCTAAGCTTTGCCTGAAGTTGTTTGGCAAAGGCTTAGCTCACATTTCTGTCACTGTTTAGTTTGAGTCCTTCTCTCATTCATTTTGATTACACTGACAAACCTCTCCAATCTGTCCCTCACTTGTATAGATCAAGGTTTTTCTGAGAGATAAATGATGTCTGTGTAACTTTCGAAGGTTTTTGGAAAGACCTTTGTTCAAGGTTGGCAAACACAGGGATTCATGTAGGCCACAGTAACTCGTTGGCCTGTCAAACGCTGCAGAGGAAAGGCCAGACGAGACACAAGCCTGTTTCAAAAGTGACAGAGTTTGCATTTTGGAAAGGGAACAAATTAGGTCATTTCTGCTGGTTTTGTGTAACATCCTTTATTGCGCTCTGTCTGCTCATGGCGGTCATCCACTTCTATTCTATTACCTGGTTCCCCTTTAGCTCATAATTACGTGGCAGAATGATCGAGACTCAGGAGAATCCCTCTTCTTAAATACCTTAGGTTCCTTTTTAGTGTCTACTCTGATTCTGAAGACCTTTTAGGAGTAGTTGCGCAACCGTGACATCAACCTTACTGATTATTGAACACAGCTACAAACTAAAAAATACAAGATTTAGCAGAAAGTAGGCATTATTCGCAGCCCTAAGCCACTCAAATCATTTTGTAATCAGTGGTATAAGAGTAAAGGATATAGTTCTTTATCATATAACCAAACCAAGGGGAGAGGACTCAGTCAACGTGGGGAAAACCATTCTATAGAGCAAGACATGTTTGAAGGTAGGAAGTCTTAAAGCAAACAGGAAGACAGGAAGTGTCAGCCACACCCTAAGCTATATTATCTCAACGGCAACAAGAGGGCGACGACGATGTAAAGCTCAAGTGCACCTCGCTGTACTGTGAGGGTTTTCAGGAAACTCCATATGAAAAAGACACCAGAGGAAGTGGGTCATTTCTCCTCGGCCAAGTGTAAAAATACCCCCGCTTTCTTATTTTTCCTGGGTCGCAAACACCTTCAGTCGACACACTGCCTGTTGTCCTATTCAACTGAATGGTCTAGTTAAGGGTTACTGTCGCTCATGTTTAAACATGTGGCAACCAAGCTTACGTCATACATGGTTAACTTCAATTTTCAGGCTTGTTTTTTTTCTCCACATGATCACAGTCAAAACATCTGTGAAAGCACAACCATGTTCTACTCGTTGTGGTTGCCTTTGCTTGCATGGTTTGAATTCAAAAACTCACCTGACATCCTGCATGTAGTTTGACAGCCAATGCCGTAGAGATGCAAAGCGCTGCTGGATTGCGTGGGCTGACTCGTAACCGACAGTCAGATTCTTGCCTAGGCTAGCTGAGGTCAGAGACTGGGTGCAGGAGATTTTCTGCCTGTCCTGACATTTTTTTTTTTTTTTAAGCTATGAAGGACTTTTCTCTGCTTCCCTCTGGGTTTTTTGGGGTCTTGGCCCAACACCAGCTCCTTGTAGAAAAGTGCCATGTGTGCGCTCAGATGGCAGTGAAGAGTTTTAAGAGTGCCCAGATGTGAATTATTCCACCCAAAATGTGAACGTTTGGAAAACCAAGTTTGCCACAGCTTTCAAAACGCATTAAGCTGTAGCAGGTGTAACACTACTTTTTCTTTTTTTTGCTGTTCCTCAGTCTGAATTTGTATTTTCCACTTTTGTCAATAGGAAATTACTTTAACAGAGAAGAGCCAAGTGTTCGAGTCATGGAAGAATCCACCTCCACCTGTTTACATGGAGTATTACTTCTTCAATGTGACCAATCCAGAGGTGTTCTTGGCAGGCGGAAAGGCAGCTGTTAAACAGATCGGTCCCTACACTTACAGGTAGGTTTAATATGAGGACCCAAAGAGCTGCAGCTGTAAATGTTCGTAATAAATATATATTAGTGATGGAAAAGGTAACTGGTTATCACTATAGCCATGTCAGTTCAGGTCCTGTTTAAGGAAAGCCATCCTTCGTCTGGTTCATCTGGGATCATTTTGTTAGTGCAGTGTGAAATCCAAAACAAAAGACATCTGGATAAACTGAATGATGTTCTTTCCGCACCAGGGAATACAGGCCGCGGGAAAACGTGACTTTCCTAGAGAACGGCACCAAGCTCTACGCCCTGAACCCCAAAAGTTTTGTGTTTGTGCCCGAGAAGTCAGCCGGTGACCCCGAGGTTGACATCATCAGGACTGTCAACATCCCATTTGTGGTAAGATGTGGTGTCTGTACAGGACAATGTGTGTTATTATAGCGTGCAGCAGCCAGTTTATGGAGTTTATCATTTGATTGGCATGTGTGTTCTTATTTCACCACACATGCTATAATTCCCCTGACAACCCCCAGGCCATTGTCCTTGTGGTTTTGTTGTGACATTCTCATATCTTGAACATACAAACTTCAGTTCTATGAGGCCAAGACAAACAAGCCAAGTGAACTTAAATGACACAAAAAAGACATCAAGTATAGCAGACAGAAATTGAACTGTGTGTGTCTGTGTGTGTGTGATAGGAGCCAGTCTTTCCGTTGTCTGTTTTTATTTTATGTTTTTTTTTTTTTCTTTTCTTTTCACTATCCTTGTCCTCAGGCGGTGATGAACGAGCTGAACTCCTACTCGTTCTTGCTGCGAAGTTTTGTTTCTATGTACATGAATGGTCTGGGCATCGAGATGTTCATGACCCGCACTGTCCATGAGGTTCTGTGGGGCTTCAAAGACCCTCTTCTCACAAAGATCCACACTATGAAGCCTGAGGTGGATGAATATTTTGGGCTGATGTGGAAGGTAAGGTTGCCTTTTTTTTTTTTTTTTTCTCGAGGAGAGCTTTAGTGCAAAAATCTTAAGAAGTCTGTTGCATGTTGTTTGTTAGGGGTTACTAAACAACAGAGAAGTCAAAGCATCTGTGGCTGCATCACGTAAGAGAAGTGAGATTGGCCACATGCTGATGGAAGATGCTTGTACTTCCTGTTTATAGAGCAACGTCTGCAACTTGGCCAGGTGGTGACAGTAGCATAGCCACGTGATCCTGACTGCAGCATTTCGGGTGACTTAAATAGAGCTATCAGTTGATCCATTGATGAGTTGATAAACAGAAAAAGATCTCTTTGGTAACTGTTTGGTAAAATGTGAGAGCTGTATGTTTTTCTGTCATATGATCTTAAACTGAACATCTGTGGGATTTGTTTGTTGAACAAAACAAGATATTTGAAGACATTGGATTTTAGTAGGTAGAGGTAGAAAAAAAAGGGGCATTTGTCTCTATTTTATGACATCTATTCTCTAGACAAAATGATTATTCTAGACGATGATTTGCAGATTAATCAACAATAAAAATAAAGATTAGTTGCAGCCCTAAACATTAAGATTACCCTCTGAAATGTCATTGTAGTTTTCTTTTGAGGTCAAAAAAAGGTCAATCAATTGCTTAAGCCTTACGGTGTGGGAGTCTGGTGAGAATACACTAAGAGGCATGCCGATGACTGATACAAAGTAGTATTTCTTCCACAATTCCCATGGTCAACAGACATAAACACTGTTTCTGACTCAGTGCCTCGCCCTTCTATCCTGAACGGTCGTCTGTCACAGCAGCTTTGTCTGAACCTTGTGTCTTGTTTTCCACAGAAAAATGGCACCCATGAAGGAGAGTTTGTGTTCCACACCGGCGAGGAGAACTACTTGGATTATGGCAAGATTGACACATGGAACGGCCTGAGGTGAAGACTCCTATCAATCTTTTTCCTGCTTCCCCCTGATATTAAACGCATGGCTTCCACTTCCTCCCAGGCATATCATGAACATCATATATTATATTTACCTTGTTACACAACCTGTACTGGAAAGTCCAGAGGAGAAAGCCTTTGCTCTCTGGTTTTAGGTAGAACACGATTGCAAAATGAATGTTTGAATATCCGAAGTGACTTTGCACTCTGAATGTAATCAGCATGTGTAAGTAAATTTCAGTAGTGGAAAAAGTATTCAGATCCTTTGCTTTAATAAAAGATCCTTAACTTTAATAAAAGTACCAGTACAAGAGTACTTAAAAGTCTTAAGTAAAAATACAGAGGTACTAGCAGAAAAATGCATTTATGTTTTACTGTTGCAGCTTATTTCAGGGGGAGTTAATATCAACAAATTTTATATACAGTAACAGTTAAAAATGAAAAGTAAATGAAGGGTCGTGAGATGGTTCATGTGGCATTAAGTAAAAGATTCCCTCTGAACTGTAGTGGAGTAAAAGTATAAAATGGCATAAAATGAAAATGATACTAATGCCACTTTTATCAACAGGGAGATGTCGTGGTGGTCTTCCAAGCAGAGCAACATGATCAACGGTACTGATGGCGCGGTCTTCCACCCTCTGATAAACAGGAACGAGCTGCTCTACATCTTTGCCGCTGATCTCTGCAGGTATGCGCACATTGCTTACGTGGCTATGAATTTGTTTACAGTCAAAGCATCCCAGCAGGGCGGGGTCCAGAACTTGATGATTAAGTTAGGAAATTGCAGCTACGTCATAAACAATATGTACAGCTCCACCGATAAGGTCCCGAGTTTATGGTTGTTGCAACTTCTGATAAGGCTGGAATGAAACTCAAAACACGTGAGAGTGAAAGAGTTTGACCTGGACCTACTTGGGACGCTTTAAGTAATAATTATACAGGAAGTGATCACCACCTATTACTATAAGCCCTGCTATTTCCTTCTTCTTGATGGCTCTTAAGCTCTGTCTCAACAGTTTCTTGATGATACTCAGTATGTAGTTCTTACTTTGTGACTCCCAAAAGTAGGCACTGAGCTTGTTGTCTTTCCTTAGGTCTATCCATCTAGCCTATGTGAAAGACGTGGAGGTGAAAGGCATCCAGGCATACCGTTTCGCACCCCCTAATGACGTTCTCATGAGTCCCAAAGACAACCCCGCTAACGAGGGCTTCTGTGTGCCAGCTGGAGACTGTCTCGGCACCGGGGTGCTTAAAGTCAGCGTTTGTCGAGAAGGTAAGGGACTGCCCCATTTCCCCCGCAGTAGAGCCTGACCCACTTCCTTTTGATGACTCCAAACAAGCCCCATGACCCAGTCTCCCCCCTCCCCCTATTTCTGCCCCCAAAAAATGTCCTTTCAGGCAGCAACCCTGTCCCCCTGACTGGTATCTGACATTCCTGCTGTTTGAGCATGCCGGATTTTACTCAATACACGGTTCAATGATTAACTGTGCTGACTGTTTGTGGAGGCTATTGAAGTATTTTATGGTGGTCATTAAGTTGAGTGTGATTGCTTTGATAAGGCAATCTTTACTAGACTTGACACATGAAGACAGTGTAGTATCACTAACAGATATGCTACTGTAGCGCCTGGGCTCTGCTGTTTTATCATTTACACACAGTTTAGTTAAAATCTTTATATGTTGGATAAAAATTAAAATAATAAAGTGTTAGTGGAAGGAAACACTAACTGTCATAACAGTATAGAATAATTATAGGTAAAGGTCGATGCTGTTTGAACTCTGCTAGAACCCGATTGGCTCTCTACACCAGCTCCTGTGACTCAAATGCGCATGATTGGACAGATTTATGTGATACCAGACGGGTAGCCAATCAAGACCAAGCCTGGTTGTCATGTGCCTAGTGGTGTCATTCTGAAACTGCCTGTGTGGTGGGGGAAAAAAAAAATGGAGACTATGGAATTATTATCAGAACTGCATTTATTTTAGTCTTAAAACATCCACTCGAGCAGTTTAGTTCAAACTAATAAATATAACATTGCTTTTAACCCCAATATCTTTTGAATGGTACCTGTTTTTTAACATTAGCAGTATTTTTTAGGCTGATTCCAGTATTTTTAGATTCAGTTTGTTTGGATTTGGCTTCTCTTAGGCCATAAAATTATAAATAAATATAATAAAATATAACTTTAAGAAAGTACAATTTAACACTTAAATGAAAAAATATGAACAATCAAAGTAATATTAAAGCTTGTGGTCAAAATTGTCTGATGTTGGTAGGAGGTGGATTAATTCACCTCCAGTATTTCTAAGATGTTAGCTCTTCTGCTATCTGCTGCACTGTATCTGCTACAGATATGCCGGTATATCTACTTGTATTTCTACAAACCCCAGATAGATCTTTTACCCTATCTCACATTCCTTATTTGATCTTTCTTCAGGCCTTGTTGTTAAGACTGACTCATCTACGGATACAATCAGGATCTCACTCATCTGTTTATCTAACTTGTTTTCCTCAAGGCGCTCCCATCGTGGTGTCTTTCCCCCACTTTTATCAAGCCGACCCGAAGTACATCAACGCCGTTGATGGCCTCAGCCCCAACAAGGAGGAACACGAGACGTACCTAGACCTGCAACCGGTATGGCTAATATTTATGATCACAAAAGATTAAGGCCGGGAATCTGTGCTGAACCTTGAGCTGTTGGTTTATGACTGTCTTTATCTGAATGAGAATTAGTTGTTTTGACTCATTCTTAGTAATTGCTCTTCTTGTTTTTGTTTGCATTGATGGTTGTTCTGTATCATTTTTGTCAGCTTACGTTATTAAAGAGTATAATGTAGATTTCTATGATATTCATAGTTCTAGCATTCTTCAAGTATTTGTTTATTTTAATGTGAAAAACGCAGAAGAAGGCAAAATAAAAAGGTACAAAAGAGAAAATGTATGCATTTGAAGAGGAAAAATGCAAAAAACTTGTCCATATTAAAACAATCTCTTCGACCACTACAGCTTTTATTTCTCGAGGCTCGTACTGTAGTTTTCTTCCAATATGTGAGAATTGTAGGAAAGAAAAAAGTTTGAGTTGTTGAAGGATTCACTGAAACCTTTTGTCTCTGTTTTTTTGTTGTTGTTTTTTTAAGACCACGGGTGTTCCCATTCGTGCCTGCAAGAGAGCTCAGCTTAATATCATCCTGAAGAGAGTCCAAGGCTTCCCGTAAGTCGAACTTTGTTGAACTGTGACCCACTTTGCTGTTGCCACACTTTGTCCCCATTTCAGCCACATGTTGAGCCAGATGTCCTCCCTGACCTGTCTCTCTCTCTTCCTCCCCTCTGCAGCAAAACTAAGTTCATCAATGAGACCATTTTCCCCATCATGTTCGTCAATGAGGTGAGGGTTTCACTCGGTGCCATCTGAGACAAATCTGTTCTTGCGAGTGAAACACAAATCAATAATAATTTCTCTCGGTTGTAGACGGCAACTATTGACGATGCCTCGGCATCCCAGATGAGGACGCTGCTCCTCATCGTGACTATTGCGTCAAACATCCCGTTGTTCATCGTGGGCATGGGCATCATCCTGCTGCTGGTGCTCGTCGTCTTGTTCTGCCGAAACCGCCAGAAGAAGGTAGGAACTACCCCCTGTGGCTTTTGACTGAAGTGTAGTATTAATCCACACAGTTACCCTGGTTTGAAGAGTGTGTGTGCTACCCACTGACATTAGCTCACAAAGTAAATGAGACCTAGGCTGATAATGGATAGATGGTAGTACTGTAGCACCATAAATACTGCAGTTTTGGAGAGTTTCACTGGGTTTTTGCATGGTTAACAGTTTCCTGAGCTGCTGCAGGGTTAACCCAAAGCTACGCGCATGTTAACTAACACATTGCATGATTCCTGCATGAGCAGTTTTTCCAAAATTCTGGATCAAAATGGTGTTTTGTTTTTTTTTTGTTTTTTTTTTTTCTTGCTGAACGTTTTCTGACAGTCGATGCATCTTTGATGAGTCGGCGAATCTTTGTATTCAGGAAGGAAGCATCTGCGTTTCCCTTCTGGTCAGTGTAGCTTTGAGCTAGCTTAGCACTATCGAGTAGCAAAGTGCATTGAACTAGAATAATCCTCAGTGATGTACAGTGCATGTTTATCTCTAGTGGTGCAGGATTGTTGATTGATTACAAATTACTGTAGTTCAGGTTAAACACCGTCAAGATGGCGGCCTGCAACATTTGAAAGGAATAGTTTGAGGTTCAATGGGGAAACTGCTAATCTGGCTCTGCCCAAATGTAACAGAATCCACCTATCGGGAACAGATTAAACAAACAAGATCTAACATGTTGTTCGTGAACTTTAGAGTTGCTGCTATTAAGATTTTGTTACCTTTGGACAGAGCCAAGTGAGCTAGTTTCCAGTCTTTTGTGCTAAGGTAACCGGTTGTAGCTTCATATTTAACTTCCAGAAATGAGACAGTATTTGTCTTATCATCAAACTCTCAGCAAAAGTAAAAATAATAAGCATATTTCCCACCAACTATTCCTTTTAACATGCACACATGCATTTAAGTTTAGACCTTCAGCTTAGCATTGAGAGGATGTTTATGCTTAATTGCAATGTGAAGAAGTTGTTGTATTAACAGTGTTCTAATTTTAATTTCTGTAACCCCCCTTTTTTCCTTTTCTGTTTTAGAATGAAGTAAAACGTATTGATTTTACTGAAGCTTTTCATTCTTTTACTGTAAGTCTTAATTTTTGCCTTGTTTGCTATTCTCCTTTTTAATTTGTTATCCATCATCTCTGATTATCATTTTTAATTACCTTATGGGACATGATATTCCTTTTTAAGTTCTCGCCTCACAGTGGAATTTTTCTTTTATTTTTAAGTTAATGTTTTTGTGGTGGTGGTGGTTGTTGTTGTAACTGGAGCATATTTAGATTGATGTGGTTCACTGTGGACATTTCAGCCAAAAACATTTATTCCCATTTTGATGTCGGTGTTCAAGTATAAAAGAATATTTGGACGTCCTGCCACTTCGATGATTTGCACTAACATCTTCTGTCCTCCCGACTCTTCCCCGTCCAGACGGTGAAAGATGACACGGCCTACACTCAGGTCAGCGACAAACCCGACGAGCCTTCAGAAACGCCAGCCAACCAGCCAATGAGGAACGGCTCCTACATTGCCATGTCTCCAGTGGAGGCCCAGAAGTGTTGATTGAGGATCCCCTCCCCACATGTGGAGCTCAGGAAGGGGGCTGAGGGAGCAGCACATGGGTGTTACACTACCACGGGCGGGGGTTAGCACACACAGTGGGCTCATTTTCACTTATTTTGGGGGATGGGGTGGGACACGAGCCCCAGTAAATGTTTAGTCAACAAAGACATTGCTCCTCTCACTGAGCCCCCTTATGACTGTCTGTCCTCCTCTACTCTACCTGCTGAGCATGGCCCTCACTGCCTGCCGTACTGCAACACAAACAAACTCCCACACTCTTCTCCTCATTTCCATCCTGGTTGGCCCCCGAAAGATGAAGGGACTCTAGATGGGCTTGGCCAGGAAAAGCCTTTTTTCCATATTTCTTCTGAGGGAACACAGTAGCATAGGTGTCGCTGTTGTACACAGATGCATGATCTCCGGACCAGACTCTGCCGATTAATATGGCTCAAAGAGTGTTTAGTATTCACTTGAACAACAGTGGGTGTGGTTAGCGTTGTATTCTTGCTCTTTCCTCTCCATCAGTGTTGCGTGAGGAGAAAAACTTCCAACAGATTTAAAAAGAAAAGCCCTCGTAAACTGAATCCTTAGGACAGAACTCTTTTGAGCTCCTGGGCTCAGAGGATAAAAACTGTTTTGCTAACAAAACTGAACTCAGCATATCTTTTTTTTTTTTTTTGTAAAAAAAGAGAAAAAGAAGAAAAAACAGATTGAGCCAAACTATTTATAGCAATTTTGCCTCTTTTTCCTAAGATGAATTAATGCGCCCACATACATACAGACACACACCACACTTCCAGTATCAGTTAGTAAAAGTGTGTGTGCACCTTTATCTTACACTTCAGTGTCCTGTTTTGATTGACAATGGGCAACTATTTTTCTTGATGCAGGCACAGTGTAATGTGACACCTGAAATACTTGTGATCCCCCCCCCCCCTTCTCCTTGTGTTTGTTGCCATCACTTTTTTTCTCCCCTGAACACTAGTGTATATAAAAAATTAAAATGGAGACCTCCGCTACATTTCTCAGTCATCTTTAGCTAAGGTGATGACTAACTAGCTGTGAAAGTGTTAGTAATGCCAACAGTAGCTTGATCAAGTTGCACCTTTTGTTAGGGTTCATCACACATTCAAAACAAAAAGGAAAAAAAAAAACACCCACAGAACTTACAAGGGAGACTTGAACCTGCTTTCTGCCTTACAACAGTTCAGTGTGTTCTTTATGTTCATACATTGTTCAAATAAGCTGGAAATCTCTCGTCGTTATTGTACATATGTAAAGGGGAAAATGTTGAGATACCTCTGACCAAATCCAGCAAGCAGTCCTCCGAGTTGTGCTGAAAGACACTAATTTTGCTCTGGTGTCGACCGCTCCTGCACGTCTACACTGTTACTTATTAGACAAAGCACAATTTGGATTGCTAAAACCAGTCCTTACACAAGGCTACCAGGTTTTTTTT